TTTATTTGGTTTTATTTTTTGTATAAACCAAATAATTTTACTTAATATTATAGACGAGACTTATTATGTAGGCAGCGGAATCGCTACAAATGGCCAAAATGTTGTTTTGTGCATTTAATATATTGAAAAACAATTAAATATACAAAATTATGTACGAATGCATAAAACAATTTTAAAACCATTTACAAAACAGGTGATATGTGGTCACATTTAACAACTTAATAACCACCAAAATTTGGTTTTATTTGGTTTTAATAATAAAACCAAATTGTATTAATTTTAAATTTCGTGTGTTTTATTTGGTTTTATTTGTTTTAACAAATAACTTTGTACACTAATAATAATTTAATAAATTCATAAACTTTGAATGAGTTTCTAAACTTGCCTTAAGTATGATTTTGCCCTTTAATTGATTAGGAGAAGGCATTAACTCTTCGTTTGAATTGATTTGTTGTGTTAACAAAGAGTCTGTGAAATGAATTAGTTATTAACCCGTCTGTTAAGCATTGTGTTAACCGTTAAAACCAAACCTCCAAAAACTTCTCGAAAAGCTGTGGCCATATATTGCTGTTGTTTAAGACTGCAGTGATTTTCAATCGATAGGATCAATGGATATTCAGATGCAGTGAACGCGTGTCTCTTTATGGTTGTGATGACATCAATAAAACGTATTCTTGATGTCAAAGTGTGGCCGTGATATATAAGCGGCTTTCCTTCCGGTCCGTCCCAACAGTCCACTTATATTGAGATCAATTTATCATTAAATTTAGATTAACATAATAAGTTATATGAAATACTTTTAAATGTGTACTGTATTCAAATAAATATTGAACTCTAAAGTAAATTTTAAACCTTTGTTTTAATATTGAATATTTTAATATAAGATTTAATATTCATTTTCATTAAAAGAATATTCTTGATATATTTGATGAGTAAATATTTGAAATATTACAGTATTTAAAAATGTTATATTTTATGTGATAAATGTATAAAATGTTGAAATATTAGACTCACATTCAATACATCTGCAGCCCATCTGAAGACATCTCGCATAACATTCAACGGACGACTCGCTCATGAATTGGTCTCCACTTAAGTATGTGTTATGAGAGGTAGCGATGAAATAATGTGGTAATGGATGTGACATATCTTGATATACAATCTCATACTTTAAATCCCAAACACTGTTTTGTTTGGAGAATAGATAATCAGTAAATTCATTGGTTGTGAAATACGGGTCCACTTCGTAGTGTCTCAGCGGATCCAAGACATAGCTGTTAATTAAAAGCGATGCCTTATTTTGGTCCAAAGTTTCATTTTTCTGCTCTTTTCTTAAAAAAGTGAGAAATTCTTTGAGAGTAACTCTCTTTCCATCGCCAGAATAAGAGCCAATTTGTTCGCTCAGGAATTTATTTGAGTCCAAATTCATTAGATT